TAGTTTGAAAGGTCCAGGCATTTGGCTTCTACTATTTCCCTTGCACTACATAGCCTATGCACTGCTGCCTTTCCTCCCTGATTTGTCCTGCCATAAGCTCCTTCTCAAATTTCAACCCTGCACTCAGAGTTGCACACTTACCTTACCTTTGTACCTGCATTGCACTCCTAGCATACCGAGATGAACTGAGTTATTAATCTTTCTTCAATTCAAACATTTCACTTCTTTGGTCAGAAGTGTCTTTATTAAGCTAGATATATGTTAAACAATGTTGCTGGTTTTCAATTTGATTTGTGAAAGTATAAAACTAATCTTACAGGTAGCCTCTGATACTGCCACATCTGATGGTTTTTGGGGGCTTTTATACCTATAGCATAAACATAAAGAATATGCTTGGTCAGTTAAGGTTTGTATGACAGTCTGGGTTTGGGAGAGGAGGGAAACGTGTTGCTTATTTCACTTGTATCCCTAAACTGAGTTTGGAGACAGACCTCCAGGCAATTAGTTAGAAACAACTTAAATCTGACACTCAGCACCAGACAGTTTCTGAAACTGCAAATGTTTTTCTACACTGCATCCTGCAGATATATGGTATATCTCTGAATCTGATTACAGAGAAGCACAAGTGGATGGAACACATATACTCACAAAGAGAGGTACTGATAATAAAAGTACAGTCATGGAAGGACATTAATTTCTCTAAATTAAATTATACTCTTAGATCCAATGATAGATACAGTTCTGTATAATAATTACCAATGGTGCACTGTGTTTCACATACCATTTTAGCTGGAATTTCTTTTAGTTTTGTGAAGGACCATTGTTTCTCTGAATGACCATCTGTCTTTTTCATTGCCGGGCTGGGGAGATTTGATTTAACATGAGCTAAAGAGCTCTTCTTTTAAGAGCTGACAGCAGAATACGTGGACATTGTTGTAACTACTGTCCCTGCTTCATATTTAATTAACTGGAACACTCCCAAGAGGTTCCTGAATCCATGACTCTGCCATGATACAATCACATTTCATGTATAAATATGTTGGGGCTGGGGCCAAACAATACACTGCTGTTACAGAAAGTTGTCTTTAGGTGTTAAGAGTAACGAAAGCAGGATAATGGAACAGAGAATTTTATACCTTGCTGTTGGTTCACATCTAGTCTGTGTCAGAGGGGTCATTCAGACCCAGCTTGGGGGTACTATCATAGGTTACATCAATTTTTTTATCAGACTGAGAAAATTACTCCGAAAAAAATAATGTCTCTTCTATCTCTAACTTGTATAATTTTATATATCCTTGGTTGAAGCCTTTCTCTTGTCTTAGAGTCATCATACTAATGTGGCATAATACTTTTGACATGAAGAACTGTGCACATCAGCCTGTCACCAAAACTTTTCATGGTGCCATTCAATAAATCACTAATACAGTAGGTGATTTTACATGTTTCAAATGTAGTTAAGAGTAAATAGCATAGCTTCTAAAATAGAAGACTAGGAAAGAAGTGGTGACACCCAAAATGTCATAGCAGGACCCCAGTGAAGTTTAATGTTATTGAAAAACAGTATAATTCTAAAAAAAAATCAAACTCATATGGTCTCTGAACACTTCACACTATAATCACACAATCATAAAATGTTTTGGGTTGGAAGTGATCTTAAAGATCATCTAATTCCAACCCCCCTGCTGTGGGCAGGGATGCCACTCACTAGACCAGATTGCTCAGGGTCTTACTAATCTGGCCTTGAAGAGAATATTAAGTATATTATCCTAATAGATATAACATTTGAATAATACAGTATGAAGGGAACTGCTGTTAATGAAAAAGAAGGAAACTGAAATAGAGAGCTTTTACATCAGGGAGTAGAGGCAATTTCACCAACCGTAAACCTATATCTGAAAACCTTTGCCAAGGCTGATTTTATGTGGGACTGGAAGGAAAGCAAACTACATCAGGGAGGGACAAAGTTTTTTTCAACAGACGTCTTTGTAGAACATAAATACAGCTTCAGAATCACAGCACCTGAATGGTTCCTATGATTTTCCAGACAAGACTGGCATTTCCAAATACTCCTGAATTCATCACCCTGGCAATTATTAGAAAGGCCCATATGAAGAAATACCCAAAGCAAACAGGAATTCATGCATTTCTCATTTCTCACTCTTCACGCCAGTGCCACATTCATTGCACTGAATTCAGGACCTTTTTCAGCTGTTTTGCGTAGACAAGATTTCTGCACAGCCTTTACAATAAGTGCTGACACTTCCACGATTGGACTTTAGTTCTTATTTTCACAGTTATCTTTCAATTAGAGTATATTTTCTACAAATGAGCAAAGGAGAACTAAAAAAAACAGTGCTCAGCAGCCAAAGAAATCGTCTGTAGAAACTGCTGCTTGCAAGTGAGGATGACCGATTTGACTAACTCATCAGATTCAATTTGCATTATTAACAATAAACACAATTACATAAATATATCAACCATACCTCCAGATAGCACTGCAATTACAGGCTGATTGAACAGACTATGCATCATGAAACCAAAGGCACAATTACTCAACAGAGGATGTGAACATGGTGAGATGCTTGTGCAGTATTAGATTACAATGCTTTAGGAAATGACAGAGAGGAGCCATTATATTATAGCCAACAGATTAATGCAGAACCAGTACTTCAGGGAGGAGCAATTAAACCCAATCTATCTTCATCTCAATTCCAGTGGCAAGGTGGTGAAGCTAGTGACTCCTAGGTTACCAGGGACATTAAGATATTTCCATTTGTTTTTCTGATGTCTCAGACAATTATTTCCCATTCTCCTACACAGATGATAGCTCTCTCCCCTCTTTCCACTTTCTACTCCCTTTAATACTCGGGTGTATTCAGGCCACTTATGCTTTTCATTGTTAGGTTCAGCCTTTCTTTCCATCTGCTTCAGTGGGCTTTAGGACTGTCTCTAAATGCTTTCTGACTTTAAGACTCTCCTCCAAACTACTGTCTTTAATGAATGCTTTGCTGGTGTATTTGTGCTGATGTGCTTTGCCCTCTGGCCTCCCTTTGCACCGTGCTGTGAGGAGAAGCCCCGTGGAGCAGGCATAATGCCTTTCTTGGGCTTTGCAAAGCATAAGCCCTTGCAGCATTAGATGAATAATTAGAACAACTCTGCCCTTTCATGACAGAAAACATACAAATCATTAGTAGTTAATAAAAAACAATGGAACACATAGATTTGGCAAACATTTATTACTGTCTAAGAATTTCAGACTAACAGCCTAAGTAGTAGTCAGTATGATATTTAGAAAGCATTTTTATGTGTCTTTAGAAATACTACTTTCTGTAAAATGAAACAAAAAGCCTATTTCATGCTTTTCTCTTTCCATAAAAATTATTTTGATATCTCTTCATCATTTGACTGAGTCCTGCCAAGTGGCTCTGGAACAAACTAATTTGTGTGAATGTTGATGTAATTAATGATTATGTATTCAGCTTGTTAAAAACATTCTAGACTACTAGTATATCAATGAGTTGACTCTAAGAAGACTGGGTGATGGCATCTTTTCAGCATCAGCAACCATTAATCAGCCAGATGAAGAACTGCCTGCCTACAAGACTATGAGGTTTAACTTAGGGGAGTTGTATGTTGCTTTGAGATTTCCAAATGACATCATATAAAGACATAGTATATCATAAAACATAACTTTTAATAAAATTACTTGTCCTGTAGTATTTTGAAAATGTGTGTGAAACAGTCTTCAAGGTGCCACAGCACTCAGAGATTCCCAAGAATTTTACTACCAAAATTTTTGAAAGTATCCATGCACTTCAGATGTTTTGAATTCTGCTTGTCCAGTTCCAAATAATTCCTGCTCCAAGAATTCTGCTTTTCAGTGGTATTCAGACTACAACACCAGGACATATCAGTGGGAGCTGGAAAATGAACTGATTCAAACATACAATACAGACTTCAGGAAAAACAATGGAGGTGCAGGTGACATTCCTATTTTTAAAATCATCATATTTGAGTCTTGGTGATGGGAGAAGGAGGAAGCAATCATGTTGCCTGACAGCAGGCACTTATTAGAGCAACTTAGTTTAAAAAAGTCATGTCCCTAGTTCCATGGATGGGCAATGTAAAGTAAAAGACTCTTCCAGAAGATGGTGAGCCTTGTTCTGAGTTGGCAGAGAAACTTCACTTGGCTGATTCTTTGAGGATCCTACAAGGGTAAAGTATCCTGCTAATAACTACCCTTCACATAGTTACATGCCCGTTAGTAGGTGGTAGGAATACCTTCCATTGTTAAAATGTTTGAACAACTTGTAAGCAGAAGAGAAGCTTAATGGTTAATTGGGCACCTTGACATATGCACACTTAAAAAAAAATCCAAATGGTCCTTAATAACCTGCATTTTTATTTGTTTATTGAAGGGGATGTAAGTTCTTAGCTCATTTATGAGAAGAGAGTCCAAATTGCAACTTTTGAAAATGTGACCCACTATATGTAGCAGCAAGAGCAAGATTAATCTTTTTCCAATCTGTAGGTTTATTTAATTTTATGCAAACATAAAAAGCTCTAGGCAGCTAGACATATATTAAGAAAGACAAATTAACAGCAAAAACACAAGCAATCCTAGTAATTTCCTGTATGTGCAAAGGGAAAATAAACCTCTTTGCTATGTACTAATCCCAGGCCCAATATTCCCCCAGCCCTTAGCTGCCCTCCTCCTCCTCAAAGGCCTGGGAACAGAGCTGGGGGTTTTACAATATGCCAAAAAGATCAGCAGTAATCTTACTGCAGAATGAAGAAGAGGGAGTAGAAAGCACTAAGAAAAAACAAAGCAAAAAAACCCCACCCTCCCTGAACAACTCTATAAAGAAAAGCTTTTTGATGCCCCCAAGGCTATGTTCATCCTTAACAAACAAGGACTGTGTGTTCCTTCCTGTTACCCCTGCTCACTCTTTTGGGTTTTTTTTTCTAGTAAGCGTAACACAAGAAATCAGAGGCACTTGGATCATTAAACATATTTATTGTTTAAAGTTCCTAATTTGACATTATCTGTACTCTGCGACCAAGCCAAAAATGTGCATGTGCAAAGTGAAGGCAAGCCAGGTTACAGAACTGCATTTCTATAGCTCTTGCAGCTCACCAGCACTACTAACCCCAAGAACTGAAAGCCATTTACCAGATCACCTCAAATCAGAAATTGGTTCAAAACCCACAGCATTTGCCTCCTGTAGTTCTGCCACAGCTGTTTCATAGCATGCATTTAAGCAAATGAGCTGGGGGACAATCTTGACAACACCCTTTTACTATTGCTGCCACATATAATTTCCTAATATTTATAAAGGCTACAAAACCAGACATGCTGTCACAGATTTGTCTTGTGAGCTCATAAGTGCAAAGTTCAGCTTTTACATTCACCTTACACCACCGAGGTCAGCTTGCGCCATAATCATCCCACTTAAACAAAAGCCTCTAAAATCAGGCTTTCATAAGAAAAAAGTGACAAGAAATCTCAATCATGAAGAGAACTATCAATTACAGGTATAATTGAAAATAAATATGGGTATGTCTGAATCTAAAGGGAGGTTGAAGGGAAGAAAAATTGTATATATTTGAGAGAAAGGATGTTCTAGGACCTGTACCCTGTAAGAAATACAGATGCAATTCTGTAAGACAGTAAATTCCAAAAAGTGAATGTTATTAAAGAAGAGAACACCTATTTTTATTTAATTTCATTCCAATGTCCTTAAAAGTTACAGAACAGCTGATACTGCAACAAAAAAACAGCTAATTCATAAAAGAATAAAACCAATAGAAAAGTCAGATTAAATCCACAGTGCACAACAGTAACCCTTGTGAACAAATGGAACCAAACCAAAGTAAATGATCAAAACCTCATACCTTTCTACACAACCCTGCCAGTTACATTAATAACTAATAAAGTTCCCTACTCAGATGGGAATGTCAAAAGCAGACACTGGAAATTTCTACTGCATTTCCCCAGGAATATCACAGACCGGTAGAACTCATTGTATGCATAAGTTATGTTTTTCTGGAGGGAGGGATTTCCTGGAAACTTTTTGAGTGTTCTTACAGTGCTACCCATAAGAAAAACAATTCTTACAACACACACAAAAATAATATGTTTTTATATTGACTAGCTGATGCAAGAGATGGAAGGAAGCATCAGGTCTAGGGAAAAAAACCCTGTTACTTTAAATATAAGGCATGAAGAACATTTGCCACTCTTCTTCCTCTGCTTCAGCTCTGTGAACTCTATGAACAGAGATCAGTTGAGAGCAAGAAGTCCTAACAGAAAGGTCACAGTGTCTCTTCTTTCTTGGCAGTTAAAACTCAAGAAGCTTAGATTTCTTTCCTAGACATACAAACCACCACCCCACCACACTCTTTCTTTGATCTGTATTTCCATTCTTTCATTGCAGAGAAGCTTTTCTGGTTAGTCTCTCTGCAAGTAACTTTAAAACAAGGTTGGATGCCTTCATTTATTTTGAAAACACAGATGGAAAAATGCTATGGAAAAACAAACTTTTGGAAGAAGAGCTACTGGCATTTCATACACAGAATGAATGCCTGTTTATATTGTTGGAACAGTCAAAACACAAGGCAGCTCAGCTACAGGTGGAGAACCAGCAGCACCAGCAGCACTTCGAAATCATTTGCTGTCAGCAATACTCAGTATATCATGGTCTCAGTAGAGATCCTTCCATGCATGTTGCAAAACATTAGCTCTAGTTTGGCTCCTTTACATACTCCAGGCTACACTGCTGTCCTCTACAGTGTCCACACATCTTCCTCTATGGCACCAAGCCACACACTGAAAGGAGAGTTTGCAATATGTGCAAGGTGAAATTGTGACTAATTCTTCATGACAGCATATTTTAAAAAACCTCCCAAGACACCTGACAGGAGCAGGACTTCTTCCCAGGCAGGCACACAAAGCAGGCCAGAGCTGCACTCTTTAACACTTCTACTCGTGGCACAATGCATCCTGAGTGTTTTGGGCTTTCCAGGAAGACCCCTCTCAGTGGTTAAGTAGAAGTGCTGAAGGGAGGTGACTTGAACTACCAGGATTAAATAGGCATATTTTCCCAGGATATTCAGAGGTTTTAGTATCTTTTTTTGTGGATATTAACATTGTGGCAGCTGCTACCATGTGCTTCCCGTTTTGTTGTGAACTAAGCTGTAAGATTTATAAGAAATATCTCCTGGGGAAAGAACTCTGTTTTCTTCTAAATTTCAAGGCTGGAGAAGGCAGTTTCACACTTTTGAAGCAAAATCTGCCTTAGTGGACTGTTTAAAATGTCTTCTCAGCTCAGCCATCACAATGTGTTTCCTCTGTTAAGAAATGTGAAAAGTGTTATTAATCTGAAATTGTATTCAAAACCGGCTGCAAGGAGAGCAGTAGCTGAAATGTGACCGCAGAGTGTCCAAAGGACAGAAACCCCTGTGCTCTCCAGTGAATGATTCCAGGGGGAGTCAGGCAGGAGTAACCCACAATCCTGAGTTGGAAGGGACCCATCAATATCGAGTCCAACTCCTGGCCCTGCACAGGACAGCCCCAAGAGTCACACCATGTGCCCCAGAGCATTGTCCAAACGCTTTTTGAACTCTGTCAGCCTTGGTGCTGAGACCACTTCCCTGGGGAGCCTGTTCCAGCACCCAACCACCCTCTCGGTGAAGAACCTTTTCTTCATATCCAGCCTAAACCTCCCCTGACACAACTTCAGGCCATTCCCTCGGGTCCTGTCACTCGTCACCACAGAGAAGAGATCAGTGCCTGCCCCTCCGCTTCCCCTCGTGAGGCAGGAATCAGTTGAGTACCGGTGCTGTCCCCGGTAAGGCTACCCGGGACACACCATCCACAGCCGGGGGCTCGGGTGGATCACGACGTTCCACGGCCCACATCGAAGGCCCGCCGCACCCGCGGGGACACCGCGCCCTCTCCCGGCCGCGGCCGGATCGACACCCGCTCGGCCCCGCCCGCGCTTGTCCCTCGCCGCGGCCCGTAGTGACGCCGCCCGGGCCGTCCCGGTGCCGCCGGGGTGTTTCCGCTTGTCGGCGGCGAGCGATGGTGAGCGGGGCTCGGCCCGGCCCGGCCCGGCGGGAGCGCGGCCCGCGGGGCACAGTGGGGCTGTGGGCACGGCGGGGCTGTGGGCACGGCGGGGCTGTGGGCACGGCGGGGCTGTGGGCACGGCGGGGCTGTGCCGGCCGCCCCCCTCGGGCATCCGCCGCCAGCGCCCCGCGTTTTGCGGAGTCACCGCCGGCGCCTGCAGGCCGGGCAGGGGGGAGCGCGGCCGGAGGGACCGGGCCGGGCAGGGCAATTCTCTTTGTTTACTGGCTTTGGGCAGCCGGTTGGAGTATATTAGTGCTTCGTTTAGACGGGGGAAATGCAGTTACGGCGTTTCTGTACATGGAACTGCCCCCGGGCTCACGATTCATAGAACTGTACACGCATTTGGGGTTTTTTATTTTGGTTTTTTTTTTCCCTTTTATCTAGGGGCAAAGTCAGAGCGGTGGACACGGTCCTGGTGGTAGCAAGAAGGATGACAAGGTAACAAATACTTACAGGATGAAGTACAAGCTCTGCTACATAGCTTGGCTGCAGTAGCCCTTTTTATACGATTTTTTTTTATTATTCTTGTATTTGGAACTGCATAAAACTATGTTCTTGCTGGCTCTGATGAATGTCTTTATCTCTTCTGAGTGCACATTGGAGAAAACAAGTGCTGTTCAAAAATAGGAAAGGGCGCTTAAGTGAAACTGAAGCTAATTGACAGTAATTTATTTTTGAAAAGAATAAAGCTATAAATGTGTCAGGGTTCAAAAAAATTAATTGCCTTCAAGCTATCACTTAAGGAACTGATTTTGGCTTGAAAGTGACATCGTACAGTCACCCGCATGAGGTGTATCCTTCACATTTTGGGCCTTTAGAGGCCTTGCTGGTCTCATTTGGGAGTGGAAGTACAATGTACATGGCAGGCAGTGTCCAAGCTGGGACACTGAAAGTGTGTTATCCTTTGATTGAAGTGCAGCAGAAAGGTTCAGATTCAATATTTTCCTCAACCCCTCATGTATTAGTTTTGTTTGTGATTTACATCAGGCTTGAGCCTTCCATGTTCTGTATTCACTGAAAACTGGCAGAAGTCTAAATTAGAAAGGGGGGTGTAAAATAAGCAGGAGAAGAAATTTTTTCGTAAAAAATAAAAGTCATATTTCTTTTGGGCTTCTTGCTGTAGATCCTGAGGAGACAGTTTTTTTATGAAGCCCTTCACCTTGCACTCTTTCTTGGTTTGTGCACTTAACACCTGTGTGTATTTTCTCATTGTTATTGTCCTGATTTCTTTTTCTTTTTCATGGAATTCTTTTTATGAACAAGGATAAGAAGAAGAAATATGAACCTCCGGTTCCAACCAGAGTGGGGAAAAAGAAGAAGAAAACAAAGGGACCAGATGCTGCCAGCAAACTGCCCCTGGGTGAGCATTCTGCCTGTCCAGCAGTGCTGGGCTGTTTGCTCTTCAGGAAGTGTGGAGCTGTCCTCTCCTTTAGATCGGGCTCTGGGCAGGTCATAAACACAAAGCCAAATGGAATTTTGTTTCTAATTAACATGGAAAAAACCCACAAAATGCAAGATGCAGCCTGTGAATTTCCCAGTGAGAGAGAAAGGAATTGAAGTGAGAAGAAATTCAGAGAAAACATTATCTTTAAATATGTTTTTTGTCTGGAATTGCAGTGGGACAAGTAAAATAGTGACTGCTGCTTATGTAGGAGTTACTACCAGAAAAAAACCCCCAGGATTTCTGGAAATGAATTAGTGAATAATTGGTACCATGTCAAACTTGGTCTAAAATACTGGGATTCTGTTTTGGTTACAGTGACTCCTCACACACAGTGCAGACTCAAATTGTTGAAATTGGAGAGAATTAAAGATTATCTGTTAATGGAGGAAGAATTTATCAGAAATCAAGAACAGATGAAACCTTTGGAAGAAAAACAAGAGGTGAGGTTTGAGTGAACTGTTGCTTCTAATGTTACAGTAAGTGCTCTCATTAATGTGAACTTCATACCAAAGCAATGGAAATAAAGTGCCACGAATGTGAAAGTTGATACAAACATATTAGGTTTATCACAATTCTTCATTAACTGGCTAAATGGTTTTAAACCAAGCATGGATTACTACAGATGAGGCCACAGTGACTTTTTGTTTCTTAGTGCTCTGCCAAAGTGTAGCCCCCAGATATCCATCAACAGAGAAAGAATATTCTACTTATTCCTGTCCATATAGTAGAGTCCATAGGGTAGGACTAAAATAATAGTGGGTTTTGTTACTGGCTTCTGCTTTTATGCCTTTTGTGGCAGCAAGACAACAATAGGAAAGACTGGTTTTGTTATATTTTGTCTGAATTGTTGAGCCAGTGTTGTACAAGAAGGTTTTTTGCCTGTGTTGTCTTTTCTTGGATTCCCTTAACAACAGGAAGAAAGATCCAAGGTGGATGATCTGAGGGGAACACCGATGTCCGTGGGTACCTTGGAGGAGATCATTGATGACAACCACGCCATCGTGTCCACGTCGGTAGGATCGGAACACTATGTCAGTATTCTGTCCTTTGTGGACAAGGATCTGCTGGAGCCAGGCTGTTCTGTTTTACTAAATCACAAGGTGAGTTGTTTTTATAAAATTAAGTTTCTTACAAGTTCTTGTACTGTTTTTAACTTGCCTTTTTTTTCTGAGAACCACAGGAAAGAGAATGCTGTATTGTATGTATGTATGTATGCTGAGTGTGCATTTCACACACCTAAATAGAGGGGCATTGAGATTAGGTTTGAGCTTGTATTCATAACACTGCCTGCCTTCTTTGACAGCTCTTAATTCTTGAATTAGGTTCATGCTGTGATAGGAGTCCTGATGGATGACACAGACCCTTTAGTGACTGTGATGAAAGTAGAGAAAGCTCCTCAAGAAACGTACGCTGACATTGGTGGCCTTGACAACCAGATTCAAGAAATCAAGGTATTCAGTTGTACTCACAGAGTTAAGTAAGCCAACAACGTAGCTGTTGTGTTAGGAGCTCAAAAGGGAAACAGCGGGACCAGCTGCTGTTCATGTAGTGGTGGTTTGTATCTTGCTAGAGTGCATTTCTTCATTTGATTTTGCTGGACAGGCTCGTGGACCTCAGTCTTTTAAGTGGATCTTCAGCAGCTGCATGCACAGGAACATTTCACAGTTGCTCTGGAACCTGTAGAGCCCAGAGCTTGTAAAATCTCTCCAACAACTTATTATTTTGCAACATATAAAGTTAATGATTGTTGCAATTAGAGAGTTAAATTGTAAAAAGTGCAGACGTTGTTTTGAGCGTCTGATGGCCTGCGATCTGAGGATTTAGTGCTTGCCTTGTTTTGTGTTTGCATTCATTTGTTGTTTGGTTGGGGGTGAGGGGGTGTTTTCTACCAGCAGAGCTGTGCCTGAACCCTGGTGAAACTCAACCCTTTTGCTTTGGGTAGGTGTCCAAAACCACAAGTGCTCTTAAAACACTGATCTGTAGTATCTGGTAAGACTTTATAGAAGGCATCCTTCCATAAAGTGTCCCCCTGCCCCAAGGTCCTCCATGAGTGGATCCCTCATGGGGCTCTAAATTCAGCATGGTGCATTGAGGTTGGAATAGGGGAAACGCTCAACTGCTCCTCTTCCACATGTCAAACAGAAATAATAGGAAAAGTTGTGCAAATAGAGTAGTTGCCTGCCTTAGGATTGGAGGCAACAGAGAGCTATGCTTTTCAAGGTCTGTCTTGAAATCAGTTAAGTTCTTTTTGCCTTTATTACTTTTAGGAATGCTGTTCTGGAGATCCCCACAGATCTTTATAAAAACACATTTGTTTTTTTTGTGCTGCAGGAGTCTGTGGAGCTTCCTCTTACCCACCCTGAATATTATGAAGAGATGGGTATAAAGCCACCCAAAGGAGTCATTCTGTATGGACCACCTGGCACAGGTATTTTACAGTGCAGTAACATCTGTGCTAACACAAGTAAAATAAATTATGCTTGGTCAGTATTTAAAGCATTGCCAAGTCTGTCACAAATGTCACATGACTGTTTTGTTAAGGCACCCCTCCCTCTCTGCCTTCCTCCCTTCCCCTTCTTTCCTTTCTCTCCCCCCTCTGCAAACTAATAACAATATTTCTTTCATCTAAAAATAGGTAAAACTTTACTCGCCAAAGCAGTGGCAAACCAAACTTCAGCAACGTTCCTGAGAGTGGTTGGCTCAGAGCTCATACAGAAGTACTTGGGTGACGGCCCGAAGCTCGTGCGGGAGCTGTTCCGCGTGGCAGAGGAACACGCTCCATCCATCGTCTTCATCGATGAAATCGATGCCATTGGAACAAAGAGGTACAGTGGCTGAGCTCCCACCTCACGCACGGGTATTGCCAGGGACAACGAGGGGTTTACTAGAAACACTCCTTTGCAACTATACTGAGACTCAGTTTCTTAGTTCTGCGACTGTTTTCATGTACTATTGTTGATGTAAGCATTTTTAATAACTAACACTTCAAATAACTTCTTTGGAACCAAAATATATTGCAATATTTTCATATTAAATAGACATGACCGGAGACTTAACCTCTGTTCTCTTGCTACTGAGGGCATCTCTATGAGAGAGTGTCAAAACCAGAAAGACATGCTGTGTATATGTGCATATGGGATCCCCTAACTGCAAATCCAAGTGTACAGTAATTGGCTTTAGCGATCCAACAATAAAGCAGAATACTTAGTACACAGTATATCCATTTGTCATTTGCCTCTCTGGCTAAAAACTTATGCTCTGAGAACATTACACAGTAAGTTACTGTCCTGGAGAAGCATTGCTTATGCCACACTAAACTGTTGTTGAGCCCATATCCAAGCTGTATTACTTTGAAAATTCTGTAGGCTTGTTGGAACTGTCCAATACAAATAGTCTTTAAAGTAGTCGGTGTTTTCTAACTAAATTAGAAGGTGCTCATACACATACACGGCCACTAGCCCGAAGTGCCAGTATAGG